ACTATCTGTACTAACATAATTTGCTACTACTAAAAATATTAAGTGAATGACTTACTGTTTATCCATCCATTTTCTATAGAAAATTAAAATTGCATAAATCTTTCAGACTGTCTAGCACTATTAGGAATTGGTGACTGTCAAACACACTTCCAAACTTCTTTGGGTACACAGATCTCGTGAAAATATGGAATAAAAATTTCTAAACTGTTCATAGCTTCTCTCAGACAATGTTCTGTAGGACACTTACTGTTTTGATTTCACAAGTACAACATACATGTTATTTGAATGAGACAGTTATTATAACCAATAATTTACTTTTATCATCCTACAACTAAATATATTAAATGAAGGGCTTACTTTTTAATCTTACTATTATTTGAAATACCAAACTGCAATGAACTTTCAGACTGTCTAACGGCTAAGACGTTATTAGGAAATCACAATCATACAATCTATACACAGTCTTTTACGAATTACAAAGGTCACCATACAGACAGTGATTCTACAGTACACAAAACCACTGTAGAAATACTGACGTCTTTATCATCTAGACTTCAAACAACCTATAACTAAGAAGAGAGGAGTGATTCAACTTTTGTTACAGTCTGACGTGTTTGATATTCAAGGCCACTTCCCAGTTTGGTTATATAAAGGGCCAAAATTCAAGTTTAGAAAAACTTTTTGACATTTAATGTTAGCTAAAACAGATAACACTTTTGTTTGAACTACAGAGAACTTTTACTAAAATAAAAGTCAATTACATTACACTGTCGCTATCTATTACATTATATTTAGTATTGAAATTAAGCTCAACATAATTTTAATGTTCACCATACTTTAACTAAAGTTTTTGTATGTCACTGAAATTTAAAAGTCTGTAAACATTGGGCAGTAAGCAGTATAAACATGTTGGATTTATAAAATATAAAAGCCAATATCTTTTATCGTAAGAAACAGTTGCAAATACTTTATCAAGATATTTTTATTGTTTTCACAGTTATTTTACAGATTTTGTTTGTTCTTAAAATCTTCATAGGTAGGATACATATATACATTATGCTTGATAACTCTTGGATAAAGTGTTTTTCTCTACAGTATCCTTTGAAAGTTTTATTGATAGAACCTGATAAGTTTAACTCTTTGATTAAATATAGATTAAACAATAAATTTATTCACTCTTGTCAATGCTGATCTCATGAATTAATATGTTACAAGAATGTTGAATATGACTAAGATCGCCGATTTTACACTGTTCTTTCTTCAGTACATGTAAAATATGGTACACTTGTTTAGTGTATATGTCAGGGTTTTATGTATATGTGGGTTGAGTATTCTTCTACAGTAGGTGTCTGTGACTTGTTGGCGATAAATGTCAACAATAAACGAACAGCACACAATCAACTTGTTTTAAAATAACATATTCAAAATAAGTCAAATGTACCCACAAAAATTCTTTACATTATCTAAAACTTTAAATAATTCTCTCTCTTTTTTTATCAAAGTCCACAGCTGCTGATTAAATTACTTTAGAATCCAATTGAAAAAAATGGATTATTTTTCTTTATCTTCTTTTTTGACAAATCAGTGAATAATTCACTTACCTTACTCCTTGGGTTACCACAGTTGCATCCTGAACCTTAAATAATTGTCTCCTTTTCGTCAAAGTCCACACAGATGGTTTCAATTACTTTAGAAAACCCTTTGACAGGACAAATTATACTCCTTATCTCTATTAAACTATTGCCCATTGTGGCTAATCATTCACATGCTGATTAGCTTCACGTTTTCTTTTACTAACAAATTTTCTGACTAAACTGCGCTTGACTTTTTCTCTACTTCTTAACTTGTGC